GGTACAACAACTCCCGTTCTCCAGGTGCCGGTGCATTCCCCGTAGTCACTGCAGCTTCATGGACACGTGTAAGCCTGCATATGCCTTATTCGCCTAACGCTTTGAGCATTTCAGGGCGGATTTCATCAATTCCAGCACCCTTCCATTTTTCTAGCGTTTTACAACTTGTGTAATTTCATCTATAGGGATAGTAATATCAGTTCTGTGCTGCTCTGCATGCGTGTCTTTCTGCAGAAGCTCGGGGTTAAGGAGTTCCTCAAAGTAATTCCTCCATCGCCGAAGAATATCATCCTCCTTGATAAGAGGGTTCCAAACCAGTCCTTCAAGACTCTGAGACTGCCCTTCTTCTCACCTTGGAGCCGGCGGATCGTCTGGCAGAATACTTCATTTGCCGTGTGAAAATTCGACTCCAACACCTCACCTAACCTTTCCCAGGAATCAGCTTTGGCTTTCGCTGCCACCTTTCATACGTCAATATATCGCATGCGAGTAGAAGGTTCTTTTTTTCCAAGCCATTTCTTGAACGCTGCCTTCTTATCTTTAACTGTCAGTTGTACATCTCGTGTCCACCAGTAAGATCTTTTCTAACCTCCATGTGTCAGGCAAACCTGTCTGAATCCGCAGCATTGAGCGGCAGACCTGTATATGACGATCTCAAGGAGCTCCCACTAGGTTCACATATCACTGGTCATCCGCGGGATCGGTTCAAACCAGCGATACTGTTTGTCAATTTCGCTCTCGTATGCACCAAAGATTATGTTTCCCATTTGATTCTCTGGTTGCTTGTGCCACCAGACCTTACAGCGTAGCGTGCTAACAGAATGGTGATGTTCGGTTGATAGCTCTGCGGGTCTCCTAACGCGCACATCCCTTACAGCGTCTTGAGTGAGACTATTTGATTAGGAAATGGATCATCGACTTATGTGCGCAAGCTCCCCGGTGCCAGGCACATTGATGCACTCTTCGATGCTCGGGGTTCATAATGGACAGTCCATTGTTTGGGGAAAACCGCAACAACTTCATACCGTTATTGTTGAGTTCGGTAGGGCCGTTTTTTTCGAATCACTCTGCTCCACTTTCAGCGTCTACTCCGACATGCACATTAAAATTGCCGATGGGTATGAGGGACTCCATATTCAGCACTTGGTAGAGATTACACTTTCTGAGCTAAGAAATCACATCGTCCCTTTGATAAAGACCAGTAACAGAGTCAACGCTTTAGCCTGTTGTGGCTTCAGTCGATAGGCTTCCAATCACTGATTCTATCCGTGAGGATGGTTTCTACCAAAACATCAACGCCGGCCTAAGCGTGTGTCATGAGATCGACGTCTCAGTAGAATAGCTTCCATCCGTTGAGTTTCAGGAGTCCAGAGCCTTGGCGCTTGTTGAAGAGAGTCCTGCAATATCGAATTGGTACTTTATGACCTTATGAACCAGTTCGTGTTCTTTCTCTCTGAGTGAGGAAATGTTCCGATTTCCGACTTTAAGCTTCCACGGGTGGGTCGCTCTGGTGGACCCTTTTATGACGTGCTATAATGGAATCGCGCTGCCTGCCTCCTCCGTTCAGAATTGGCAACGATTCCTTTGGTGACTGGTATCTTCGAAGTCGTTCCGTTGATGTTCTTCAGTCGTTGTTGTGCTGCTATTGCCCCAGCTGGCAGAAGGCGATGGGGAGATTGTGTTCGCTTACTTTTCAGAGGCTGCCGCAGTCATCCGAGAGCCTGCGCGGTCCTTGGTAAGCAGGGCGACGACGGAGCCGGTATAATTTTCGATAACGTCAATACCATGAAGGGCAGGTGGCGAAAGTTTCAGGAGTAATATTGTCATGATGATGATACCAAATTTATTTAAGACTAGGTTAATTTAGCAAATATATTGCACAGAAGACGAGTTGATTATTGGCCACAAGATGAGTGGAGTGTGTAGTTTGCAGCGAATTGTACAGTTGGATTGTTTTGGACCTTCTGACAAATATTCTGAGATATTATTTAATTCAAAATGATATTCAGGTATAATTTAAGATACATATGCATTAAAGAGAAATAACGATGACACGATATACAAGTTCTGGCAATGCCATTAACACTGGGTTTGAACACCAAAGAAGAGAAAAATGTTATTTCCATTCCATTTCCTAATAAATACCATTCGGTATTTCCCAGATTTAGGTCAGTTTAGCATATAAGTCGCCATGTTCAGTTCTAAAGGCAAATAGCATGAAGAAATAAACGTGATCACAGCCTGCTACGTTAATAAAACAAGTGCTTTAAATAGCTCCACATGGGTCTGTGATCAAAGTGTCAGTATTCTAGAAAAAACTGCTATAGAAGTGCATAATGTTATCGCTCACTTCTCATTATCATTCGAGGGTTAATGACACGGCCTTTGTATCTTAAAAAAATCTATTCTACTGAAAGTCACCATGAGACGAAATTCCATACTTTTGTCATAACTCGCCTTCTGCAACATGGACATCCAGGTTTCATCCGCGCAGAGGAAATATCAAATGAATTAAATATAAAATAAGCCTCGAGAGGATAAATTCTAAGCAACATCATGGAAACAAGACAATGGCCAAAACAAAGGTCGCATGTTAGAGAAAAGTACAATGAAACAAACTGGGAGGAAAGCGAGGTATAAATATGACATTCTCGGCAAGAGCACAATGCTGATGATGGGCGGAAAATATTTTCATATATTTAATACAAAGGCACTCACAATTAAAGTTCGAGTCGTAGGATCAGGCAACGTCTAATGTAGAGAATGCTTGACAGGGCGAAGTATGGCGGAGTACATTCTCCCCAGTCGTTAGCCTCGAAAAGGATGGTTAACGAGGGCTTGGTGAAGCTGTTTCGGGGCAATCACCCAGTCAGCGGATATATTTCTGATGAGAGAAATTATAAAAAATTTGTTATCTGGATCAGATTTTGTTGGAAACAAACCCGGAATTCCCACAACTTAGGAGTATGGATCTGGAAAACAGAGAAACTGAGAAGAACAGATTCACTGCGAAATGCTCAACGCAGTTTGAAAACTTAAACAGACGTTGACAGACTATATTAGTTGCAAAAAAGAGGAGTCGGATTGGAATACGGACAATCAATATGTGAAGTATGAAGAAGCAAGACAGAAACGATCGAAGCGGAGCTGCGTTAGGAGGAAACGTTCTTTATATGAAACGAGAACCGGTGCTTTAGAGCCAATTTTCAAAACCTGAAAATACAGCGGCCATCATAAGCTGCCTAACGGAAAGAGTTCAGCGCGATCATAACAACAAACGCATTAGAAGCACAATTCGAAAGAAGAATATTCTGACTCAGAGAAACTGATGGACATCTACGGCATTTATCCCAAAAACGGAAAGGACAAAAAGCAATTTATCCTATAGACTGAGATAGCGATTTCTGAACTAAACGGAACAAAAATGACTTTTTTCTGATTTTATGGTTAACATCATGGACATGAAATAAACATTTACGAAAGGCCATCGTTCGATGAGACGAACATATGTGATCGACTAAAAAACATAAGAACTTCAGTTCTCCTAAACAAAGATTTTCATTCTAACCACGAAATATGAAATAACAGTCAGTGTGAGCAATTTAAGGCATGGTATTTGCAAGAGGCTGGTATCGCGTAGGTTTGGCATGAAGTTGGTATTGTTTGGTTTGATAGCGGTATATGGCAGAAATACAGATTAAGATGATCAAATGATGCATGATGGCAAGATGAGTTATACTCATTATGTTAAACTGAACTTTAATATACAATACATTTAAAGGATTTGCAGACAAACTCTGCCCACATGGGCATCACCTTTCAAGTGTTCTAAAGCTGTAAAACGTTTTGCTTAACTAAGGATCGATCCGTAGGCTATAAACAGCTTGCAAATTTTATATGTGTAAAATAAACAAACATGCACAGGAATGAGGAGCACTGTACAGTACATCGTAAAATAGTCTTAGAAGAGTAATGCGCCAATACAACGTACATATGTATGCCTCCTGAGGACGGTCAGATATTGCAGTGTGGAAAAACTGAATAGCATTGACTTTTAATGACACAACATTTCCAATTTTGGACCCGTTGTTGAAACTGTAGACTATTAACCGATTCAGAATTTAGGGCGGATGTATACAGAATTCATGGCCTAAACCATGAATCAGCGAACAATCTATAATTACAAAAGCATTTACTTTTGCTTAGTTGTCATAATGACGAGAGCAATAACTGAGTAAAGTAGATACTACCAAACAAAATAATTTTCCCACTTCCTATTGCCATACTTTTAAATGTGAACGCGAATATGAACGAACGAAACATCCACTAGAAAGTGCCAGTCCTCAGCGATTACATACACATTGATTCATCAATGGAACAGCGATCAAGAAAATGAATCACCATGATTCGAAGCGTCTGGAACTTGAATATATAACAATTATATTAACGGACCATTTCTACATTGTTTTAATATGCTTGATTCACATTAATACGATGGGATAATTATGTTCATTAAAAATTAACAAAATAATGCCGGACATTTACCGACACAATAAAAAAGAACCCAATAGAAAATAAAGCAAAGATGTTAGAAAACAAAAATTATAAATAGTTGACAATGATTTCACGTT